CCGATCAGGTCTCAAGAAGCAATTGCACTGACTGTCCCTCTCATTACCTTACTTATGTAAAACACTAATGGGACCATTCCTGTGCCAAGAATCCCGTCCAATCACCACCAGCGACCCCCCTTTCTAATATGACAGCGCCGATTTATGCTTCCACGCTGCAGGGCACATTAACCATTTGGGACGGTGTGCTGTCTTGTATCCACTTTCATCTGTAATAACTCAAGGTAAGACACCATCATATTTCATCCCCTCTGTGCATCTTAAATGATCTCGCTTACTGTTTCTCCCTTTTGCCCTGACTCTTCTTTGCCTAAACCCCCCCCCCCCCCCACCTTCTTTTTCTCTTTCATTCTCTTTCCACTTCTCTCTTCATCTTTATCTCACTCCGTCTTCCCCTCCCCTCGGGGGCCTTGACTCATCTGGAGAGTTGCCAGGAATGCAGATAGGATCGCTCGCAGATGTACAATAACTTGAGGGGAATAAATATGCCCTAATTGAGAGAAATGATGTAATATTGATCCTCGGGCCTCTGAACCTTTTGGCATTGTGGGAGCGTTCTGCCGAGCCTGTGACATTTAGAAAGATGGCGGATGTGTATGTGAGAGTGCATGTGCGATATTGAGGCTAGGTGTTTGGCTAAGGCTCTCCTGTTACACTTTATTTGAGAAAGTAAAACGTGTCTCGCAATTTGATACAAACTTTCCTGCTCAGAATCATGAGACAACCCAGCTGAGAGCTGGACGACAATAGTTTTCCGCCTGCAGAAGTTACCAGATCAAAAACACAGAGCTGTCGCGTCGTAGTGTTTCCATTAAGATGTGCTTAATCTAAAACCTGAGTGGAAAAACCATTTTGTGTCTCTTCTGTGTCTTCAAAGTGAGAAGGTGTCATGTGAAGAAAATGCATGTCTCTTTCCAAAGAGACAAAAAATCAATAGACCCTAATGCGCTCAGTAAGTCCTCCCGGCCCTCTGACATTTACATGGTTTCTCCAGGACTCCTGGTATTTACCAGTTTGTAGCATGGAGTGCATCCATCCCACAGCGGGACATCCAAGACGTCAATATCAATCATTACATATTGAAAATGATGCCTGAATCTGTGAGGGAAGATCTCAAACATGCCAACATCAAAAGATGAAATCCATACAGCTACAGGAGGAAATCTGTTTGAGGATAATGGGATGACCAACTTTCATGGATTGATAAAGTCAAGTAAAGGTTATACATTTCAAAAGCATCCGTTAGCTGAGTTTCAAAGAGCGCAGGTGAGTGTTGACGTTCACCTACACTGAGTGCAGTTCATCAGGTTCAAGAGGGACATACTCACAGCGGGATCTAGATGTGTCAAGATCATCAGTTTAATTTTAGACTTTATATCAGGTTTTAGAGTAAATGGGATTCTCATGACAACCTCAACCTGCAATCACAATAAGAATCAAGTAACTGCGCATTGAGGTAGCTAACCCCATAATTACCAAAAGATTGCAAATTATAATGTGATGTGGCTGCTTATGCCAAGTCATTTCACAATAGCGACAGGAATCCTCTGTTCATATCATTACACGGTGTAACTTCTTCCGACATGTGGCCAAAGACCAATTTAGTTTGTCCTGCTATTATTCACCAACCATCCAATGAGGAAGGTCAACCTCTGAGAGGAGTGCAGATTGTCAGATTGGTTTATTTTTGGACAAAGAGCAAAGGGTGTTTTTCAAGAAGCCTTTGTGAAAGCGAGTGAAACAGATTTAAAAATGATGTAATCAAAAGAAGACCATAACTAACCATAAATCTGGACTTGTTTTGCCCTCGTAACTCAAAGTGGGGCAATACTGTACAACGTACGGTGAATGAAACCCCTAAAATTACAGCCATATTTGATTTTTAAGCATTCAACTCCAAAATCATGAGCATTCATATACTGCTTCAACAGACCAACTGACCAACACTGTGATAAAAATCAAAACCTGTAAAAGGTTTGCTGCAACTCACAATCTGAACTGTTAGTATTTCAGTCTAATGGAACTAAACTGGACACAAACATGTACGGATGCATAAAAGCACGAAGTGAAGTGTACCTTCTGTGTTCTTCAAGTGAGAGCGTCAAAGTGAATTGCTCAGACACCATCACCTGGTCTTCTCTCAGCCTCAATTTCAGAAAACTTGATGCAATGTCAAGTGTCAGGGGATGAAGTGTGATATCTCGATGGAAGGAGGCGGTCGAAAGGGCTCCGAGTTTTAACAGCCAATCACGATCACAGGGGAACTCGCTGGGCATTCCCAAAATGAGCATCGCAAACAGAGTGCCACAATGGTCAGAAATTCAATCTAGAGCGAAATAAAATGTCAGGATAGGTAGTGGAGTGAGGCCGCAAGAGACACGTCAGCTCTGCATCGAAAACAGCATAACAGTAAATCAGAGCAGACAGCAGAATAAAGGAGAAAGAAGCACCTCTGAGGATGGAGGATGGTTTGAATCCACTTTTGGGTTGGCTTCAAGAACACATGCTTCCTATGCATTCAGCCAGGAGGGAAAAAAACACAAACATGTTCATGCATTAAGGAAATTAAATAGTCTGCTGTCAAAGGGTTCTATGTTTACAAATCGTAAACATTAGCACTCGACTAGGAACAGACTCGCACTGCAGTTAGTCTGCTCGGCTAGACTGCAGTCAATTATTCTACATCGGCACAAGACAAAGTGAGAGCAGTGCGCATTGAACTGTCAGACTGAGTTACAGACCCCAAACTGTATGTGATGGCTTCCACGGAGAGAGCAGTGCAAAGACATGGAGGGCTGAGGAGAGCGTTTACACAACATGTTTCAACCGAGCCTCTTAAATTAAATCAATTACATCCAAGGAAATGCAAAACCATTAGGGGACAAGAAAGGGAGTCGGACTAGACAACAAAAAAAGTGTGCGCTGATTAATTGGGGCCACCCATTTACAGAACCCTGCGTTCTCCGTGCATCCCTCAAGTCTCCCTCCATGATTCCCCCCCCCCCCCCTCCCCCCTCCCCCCTCCATCCACTCCTCCCGCTTTCTCCCTTCTCACCTGCCTAATTAACTGTCAGCCGAAGCCATTTGCGCTTCTATATTTCATGGGAGAATGGATATTAAAATCGCGCCGAATCTGACACAACCACCCGGAAGGATGCGCTGAGATTGACTTGGTTTTTTGTGGGTGACATGAGCATGAAGACAGGGCGAGGTATAGGGGCACGAACAGGCAGGGAATCAAATGTTTTGATGCAGAATTTGGGGAGTGGCAATGGGTGCAAAGGTGGAGAAGGAGGGTAAAACTGTGTAAAACTCATTTTTGCTTAGTGAAACGTCAAAATCAAGACATAAAAATGTATTGGATTCAGTTTGCTGAGGGGTTAAAAGTCTAGGGAGCAAATAAAAACGGCAAATTGAATAAAAATACAGGAAATAACAACCTCTAAAAATGGTTTAAATAAGGAGAAAACAGCACATTTCTTTGAAACATCACCACTTCTCTCAGCTGTCAGGTAATTGATTTTGAAAATCACCACCATCCACGATAAAACACTTCATCAGATGGAGCCAGAGACGTCAATTTAAAGCCACGATGATTTGCGCCTTTTTTTTCTGATTGCCACCTTTTACCTCTGCGAGCCCGTTGTGTTCATTGTCCGTGACAAACTGACTTCAAAGGAAGCCTTCATCATGACCCATTTTCCGTTCCACCAACAGCTGAGCACTCGCCCAAATAAAAGCAGGATTTTTCCCATGAGCCCCTGGTGCATCAAAAGCTGGTAAAGCAAACGGAAAGCAGGCGCATTAGGCAGCATGAATGGGAGGCAATCATTGGATGTACTGCTAACATAAACCTGAAGGTAATGTGAAGGGAGATTATGATTGGTTTCTCAGAAGTACCACTTTGATCCACTGGTGAGTCATTCCAGCTAAACAAACACGAGCTGTAAAAGATAGCTAAAATAGATCGGATCAGTGTAATCACAATGACGAGGCACTCGATAGGATGGGAGGACAACAAGCAGTGGACATGACGTTCACTATCCGATGAATCACTTCCTCCTTCAAACTTGTCCAAAGACTCATCCTCAGGTTTTTCTTCCACTACGATAAATACTCAAGGTTCATTCACAAAAGGGAAGAAACAAAACATGAATCAATATAAAAGGACAAAGGAAACACTTCAAATTCTCAGGTAGAAAAGGATGTTTGAAATTGTGCTATTCTCATAAAATCAGGAGAAAGGCACGCATGGACAAAATGAACGATAATCTGTCACAGCATAAATTCACCACAATCCATGTTTTCACACCACCACATCATCCATGTGTACATACACAGCGTCGCAACGACCCATCTGCCTTGTCTACCTCTCAGGGGCGGGTCCAGAGGGGTGTCCAGAGGTGGCACGGGCCCCCTTTGAAATCTAATTGGCCACTGTGCATGCCACCCAAAAATCCTTGAGTATGATTGGCTTCTTGCCTTGTAAGAGGCGGGACTTAGGCTCAAATAAACTATTTTGGCTGTGGTTCAACAGACTGCAAGCAGACTTAAATTCCACCTCTGATGGGGCTAATACCAATTTACAGTTTAGGGTTGGGTTGGATTTTTGGGGTGGCACATGGGGTGGCCAATCAGATTTCTAGGAGGGCCCATGCCCCCCCAACCTGGACAACCCCCTGGACTCGCTCCTGCCTTGAAGGTGTTTTAGCTCCGAAGCACGCTAAAGTAAGAAGATCATCTTGCTATGAAAATAGGAACAAAAAGTGGTTAATATCCTGAAATCACTAGCAGACAAGCTGAGTTTGCAAAAACTGCAGACAGCACCAACAATGAACTGAAACTGGAAAAGATCAGAAAAGAGGAAGGAGTCACATTCTGAAAAAAAAAAAAAAGGGAAAACAGGGAATATTTCTTATTTTAACATCTGGCACAACATGTATGAGAGCACACTTGTCATCGAGCGCCACAGAATACATGTCAAAAACGTGTCTCCTTACCTATTGCCAGCTCAATGATGCTCATTTGGCTCTCTGAGGGGACGAGGATTTTTGGCGGCTTGTCTGTCAGGGGAGCTGTGAGAAGACAAACAGGGAGAGAGGGAGAGAGAGAGAGAGAGAAGAGCACAAATTAGATCCCACATGCGTCTCCCCCTGTGGACAGTAGAAGTATGATTTATTCATTAAAGAGCACAATAAAAGGCTGCATTAAAAAAGGGAACAAATACACAGAATATAATATTTAAAGAGTGGACAGAGAGAGGGAGGGGGGGGATGAATTACTATAACTCAGAATTCCCCATTCAAAGCTTCAAACATCAATGCACATGCTTTTCAAAGCTGCAGCTGCCTCGATAGTAATGCCATTCAGTCCTTTAAAAGTGACTGTGTAAGCAGCGATACGGCTCTTCACATGCATACAGACTCTACTGTATATATTCAGCAGCTGTGGAACTAGTCAACCATTTCTGCATCTACAGTACACCCGAGGGTAGAAGACATTCACAGCTGCAGTGGGCACGGGGAGGTTAAAAGCTGCTGCAGGAGACGAGAGTATTTGCGGCGTTTTCACCGCAAATACGACTTAAAAGAAATCGAGTTCTTGGAGGAGCACAAATGCAACCAAAACAGCAGATAAAGAGATGTAATGTGCAATGTGCTGACTTTGAATTTGATCAGAGTTTTTTTTAAATTCACCGACTCCAATTAGACAGCTGCTGAGTAACAAAAGACGTGCACTTAGAGGCTCCTCGTTATAATGATTCCCTAATTGGTTCTAGTCTTCAAAGTGGCATCAGAGAGAGGGGTCTTCTGTCACGGCACGCTTGGAAAATACTCGGAGGGGATTGTTTCAGTACGAATGGCACGCTGTTTGACTCCGAGTACCGATCGCTGAGCTCAACTCGGGATACTGGGCAAAGTTTTTCTTTTTTTTTGTGAGAGGTTGAGATCGAATCGAGGATGGTTTACGTCGTGGTAGCTTCGTTTACATGGACGGGACGGCCTTGTGTATAAAGCTGTTTCATGCTGGCGCTCAAGGGCGACATCTACTGGATCGAAAAGTCTCACATTCTTCCTTTAATTAAATCAAACTGTATAATGTTGATAGTTACGCACTTCTAGCTCTGTTTGTATGTCTATGTGTCGTCTTCTCTTCCACTCTTATGTGTGTTTTGTATGATCGAGAAGCGATCTCAGTAACTGCCTCCAGTAGCACCTGGAGCTACAGGAGCATCATAGAGTTTTTTGGAGTTACACAAGGCGCTGGCAGGATGTTCACAGCAGAAGAATGGGAGATGCGGCGCATGGTTGAAAAAGAACCTAAAAGCTTTCGGAGCGGCTCCTCACCCAGAGGTTTAGTCATGTGCTATTTATACGACGCGCCTGCACATTTTGTGTTCTCCACGCCGGCTGCTCTGTGGCGCTTCGCGTGTAAAGTGGATAGAGGAAAACGAGGCATGGAGGAGATTAAAGATCGACTCCAGCTTTCAGACCAAGGCACCAAACTAAGACCATAAAAGCAGCAGAAAGAAAACAACAAGGCAGAGCATTTATACTCCACACCTAACAAACCAGATGAGACAATTCCTCCATAGTTATTCATGCAAAAGCTCATACATGACTTGAAGGCCAGAGCCACACAGGAGTATATCAGCTACACTCTCCCCTCATGAGCTGTTCACCACATCTAGTCTTGCATTCTGTACATTCAGTGCACACACTTTATACATTGTAAGACTGAACACTCATGTCAGTTGTACTGATCATGATTTCTTTCTTTTCAGTTCTTTTCAGCCAAGGGCAGACAAAGTGCTTATGCTGAAGCTCACTGGAGCAGACCATGTGATGTGATGTGATGTCACAGGGGGGGATTTGGGTTTAGTTCGTTCTTCTTTGTACTTAAGTTAACTTAGCGTCCATTTAGTCAACCCCTTGTTTGATGTGGTTCGTCCAAACAACTACATACATTTTATCTTTTTTAGATCACACCTGATTTTTCATCTTGTTTATTTTAAAGTTGACATCTAAATCGGCCTAGTTCGTATAATTTGGTTTGTAAACTTGGTTTCTCTGTTTTTGGGTGAAATTAAAAAACCCACCTTTACTTGAAAATGACTCCTGTGTCTCGTGCCTTACTGCTTGGTCCCTAACACGACCATCGGGCTAAACACTAGCAGAGGCTATCATAACCGCGAGGCTATCCGGCGCCCCCTTGGCACTCTTTCTTTGACGCTTATCTCGATTGCACCGTAAGGAAACAGGAAGCAGGAAGTGTTGATACTCTCGGATATAAACTTTGATTTAGATTTTAGATAAAGCATTTCTTGACGGACAAATGGCCCCGTTAACATAACGCTCCCTTCAAACCGAGACCTTCCTGTCTTGTCTTTTCCCTTTCAGATGTCCCACCTCCAGAATGTCATTGAGCTAACTGTATGAATCTATAAGGTTATAATGAGAGCCTGACCGATTTATCGGCCAGCTGACAATATCAGCTGATATTAGCATAGTCAAATAGCATTTCTTTTGAGTTTCATTGCATCACAATAGCAGTTCCCTTTCACCAGCAGAGGGCGCTATGTGTTTTACAACAAGCATCATCACCCTCCAGTTGAGCGACCATCTTGTCTTCATGATATATCATGAATGATACATGTGTATATCTATCTCTACAGATTGAACATAGATCTAAAAAAAGATATCGGCCAATATATCGGTATCAGATTTTATTCTCTCCCCATTATCGATATCGGTATCGGCCCCCAAAAATCTCATATCGGTCGGGCCCTAGTTATAATTAAAAGTGCATGACGTGTGAAGCTACAGAGATGGATTTTTTTTGTTGCAGAAAATTGTATGGAATGGTTATTGAAGGACATGGAGGCCATTTCTCATTTAAATTTGGATTCTGGATTTGATTTGTGGTTCGCGTAGAGCCCGTTGAAGGTGAAATCCCAAACCTGGAAGCTAATCATAGTTCTGGCACTTCTCTCTCTCTCGCTCTCCCCACATAATCTAATTTTACAAAGTCGGAGACGTCTGTTTAACTCGCGTCGAGATTCTGCCCTTCATCCGAATCAAGGGCGCGCTGCTGAGACGCCGTTTGTTAGCGGGATCGCACGTCGCTGGAAGGCACGCCATCGCACGCTGCCGTGCGTGATGCAGGAGTGAAGCTGGCTGGTCTTCAGCTACAAAACTATAATTCTGCGGTGGGTGATTATGAGAGGGAGTGGGCAGCCTTTTTATGCTGAGGGGCGAGAAACACATCCAGCCTGACCTGCCTCCCCTACACACAAACACATGGACTGTATAAGCCCATTACACGCACGCACACACACACTCACACGCGAGCCTGACGTAGGTATCAGCTGTGTGGAAAATCTTTAAAGTGTCCCTCACAGGCCGTGTGATCTGCTCCGGCTGTGATCACATGATGATGGATGGGGGGATGGATTAATGAAAGAGGGGGAAAAAAAAAGAGACCTCGTTCTCTCCCATTAACTCCCCCATCGCCTCCCCTCCCCTCCCCTCCCCTCCACCACATCTGTCCGTCGCTCGCTGTGCATCTTTGTCGCTCTGTCTGTCGGGGTTTCTCTCTTGGGTGCGAGAAAGAAAGAGAGAGAGAGGGGAGATGAAAGAGGAGGGAGAGGGTTGTGGTCCTCTCTTCACACCTCATTAAAGACCACTTCAGCAGACATAGATTAAGAGGAGTAGTGTGTGTGTTGTTCTAAGTGTGTGTGTGTGTGTGTTTGTGAGCGTTAAGACGCAGTGTAAGTTCCAAAGGAGGAAATTAATGAAAAGTGTTTTCCGAGCGACTTAAGAGGAAAAACCTTGTGAGTCACACGCATGAAAAAGATCTTCTTTTTTTTTGTCGTTTTTTTTTTTCTGATTTCTTCAAGGTAGGCTTCAAAATTGGACTGATCTGCTTTCTGGATTTTCTTTCTTAAGGTGTCAATCATTCTTAATGACTTGAAGAGAGGAGTGCTCCCAAAATGCTGAGAGAAACAAACGTGTGAGCATCTCAACACGGAGAGGCATGGTTTGAATATTTCAGGTATTTAATCGAAGGTATAAAAAAAGATACCTCACCATGCCAACATTTGATAAAAGTTTATATATTCTGATTTGTTTCTGTCCATCATAACAAAATAAGGAAGAAGACTTCAATTGTATTGTAGTCCGGGATCGTACTGCCTCGACCTTCTGGCTGAGAGACGACCGCTAAGTCTCGATCCTTGTTTGTGTTGTACTTACTCTCTGATGGTCTGTACTGTACTGTATTTGGATTAAAGCGTCTGCTAAATGAATTGTAGAATTGTAGACAACAATTAGAAACCATTGGAATTAATTTTAATCGAATGAATTTAATAAATGAAGTTTAATACGAGAATTAATTATGATATCATTTCAAGTCAGGATGCTACATTCGCAGATGTGCTCTAAAATTGAATTTTTAAGACAGAGCAAGTCTTGAGGACTCTGATAGGGAGCGCAGAGCACTTAAAGGGGACAGAAACTAGTCAGCAGAAATCAGGGACAGTTCAAGTTTTGAAAAAGTGGACCTGCTTTCTCTGGGATACACGGACCTATTTTAGAGATTACCAGCAAGCTAAACGCACTACAACCCAGTGAAAACCAGGTTTTAACATTATGAGGACATTGTAAGATAAGCGAAGAGGATACATTTATATTAGGGCCCTTTTTTTTTTAGTAAAGTCAAGTGATGTTTCCCTAAAGGTGTCAACCAGCCCCCTAGTTGGTTTGCTTATGCACTTTTCGTTTTCTCAGCTAAATATTCAGGTCAATCGAGTGGAAAAAAGGCCATTGTAAATTCTTAATGCGACCCCAGTTGAGGGAAAAAAGTGCTTTCATTACCACACAACACAACCGGTAAAAAAAAAAAAAAAATGTTCCTTCAGCAAACAGATTTCAAAAACAGCAGTGGCTGCATTAAAATGTGCAGACCACTCAGGGCCACAGAGGAGCTCAGCGTTCATGAGGAACAATGAAGATGCTGTTTCCTGTGCTCGGGCTTTGTTGGGAGATGGACTTTATAGTTTTAAGTAAAACGGTTT